GCTAGTTTTTGTGGTTTATTGTAGAGACAAGGTCTCACCAAGTTGCCCAGGCTGGTCTCAAACCCGTGGGCTCAGATGATCCTTTAGCCTTGGCCTCCCAAAGTGCTGGGATTATAGGCTGAGCCACTGTGCCTGGTCTGAATTCCATTTATTTAAGTTTCTTTCTTTATTTCAGCCATAATTTTTGATAGTTTTATTCATAGTCTAGAGTCTAGATCTTGTGGTACTTATGAACACATCACCTCAACGATCTCAGTTTCTTGGATCCTATTCTTTGATCACTACCTTTTCTCTCTAATTCACTTTTTCAGTATGTGCCTAACAAAATTTCAAATCCCTAAAAACTTCCATTCCATTGATCTTACCAACTTTTCAGTGTACCTCTTCTACTTTATGACCCATATGTTTTTATTCCTCAGTTTTAATCCCATTGCCATTAATTAATGTAACAGATACCTGCTAAGTGACTGCTATTAAACCTCACTGAAGATATGCATCTGCTCATGCCTATTTCTTTGTTTATGGAGGCTGGTGTCTCCTGGTGGTTAAAGTGACTGCTATATGCCAAGCACTATTTTAAATCTTTCATATTTATTTGTAAATGAAGATAAGAATATTCTCCTGCATTATTGCCTGAAATAATAGATAAAATATCTTTGCTTCTATCAAAAATTAATCCCTCCATCCATCTCCTCCTCTCACTTATTCAAGGGTGCCATTTCAACAAGTATTCTCTCTCCCTTCCATAAATCAAATGTTCCCTCTCTATTGTAATATTTTCATTATTACAGTCTCTCATCCAAACAGGGTTATATTTCTATTTCACTCCTTTTATTAAGTACAACACTATTTCTTTGCTCACATTTACAGAGCAACTGCTCAAAATTATTTAGAATGCTCACTGAATATAGTTTCTATAATACTTTCTTAGAATTTGTTCAGATCAGGCCTTCTTACCAACTGTTCTATTAAAACTACTCTCATTCCTGCAGATGGAAAATAGAGTAACCCTCCTAATCCCTGCCATCTAGCATTTATGCTTTGTGTTTATCATGACTTTCTCCTTGTTTCCTTGGCCTCCGGGATTCATCACTTCTTTGTTTTTCCCCCTAACTTTCTGGTTGACTGTCCACATCTCCTCTGCTTGAGTCCCATTTTCTCCCCACATTTCATGCATAAATTTGATAGGCCTCTAGATTCAGGCAATGATCTCTATTTCAGTTTAAACTGTTTGTCTCCAAAATTTGAAATGAAACTCTATTTTATGCAAAAAAAAAAAAAAAGGGTTGTCTCTTTTAAAAAAATGGAAAATATAGAATTACAGCTGGGTCCCATGGACAGGAGCCAATGCTACCCTGGCTCTTCCTATCCTTCTCTGTGTCTCTGGTCTCTATAGCTTAACTTACTCTCTCACTACATTTTTCTCCCCAGCTCTGAGTTTACTTTTCTCTCTTAACCTCAGTGACAGATATGCACAGTTTCTTCTAGTAAGATCTGTGCAAAAAAGCCTCAGATCATCTCAGAAGGATTCTTAGCCTTATCCTGAACTCTAACTGGAAGAGGGTCATTAGGTAAACATGATGAAAGGGGTAAAGAAAAGTTTTAAAAAGTAGAAGTTTCATTTTTGCAAAATTAAAAACAATAAAACAGTTGAGAAAAGGGTCAATACTCATTGCACAACAATAAATTCTATTAACTTTTAGTTTTTTTATCAATAAATTGTTTAGATAGTTTTGGAATGTGCTTCCTGATAATAATAATTAGTGCATTTTCCCTGTGTCATCAACCCTGCAAAATATTTTACAAGTGTCTCATGCAAATTAAAGAATTTCTAAAGTAGAGGCACTATTTTTATTCTCACTAGCATGTGAGGAAATCCAGAATTTTTCAAAGGTTCCCTGGAATTCAAAGATAGACTGGCTGACTCCTAGCTCATGTGTTATACATTAAACCTCACTGAAGATATGCATCTGCTCATGCCTATTCCTTTGTTTATGGAAGCTGGTGTCTCCTGGTGGTTAAAGCATAGATTTTGATGTACTGGGGTTTAAAATGAATCTGATGATTTCTTTTGAACTTTTAACCTTATTTTTATTTATTTATTATATTATAAAGATGTGGGGTACAATTCAGGGTTAAGTATACAAACGTTGATTATGCAAGTACCTTGTTGATGAGGTATGCCCCTCCCTCTCCTAACAGTTTCCCTCAACTGCCAATCCCGCCCCCTCTCCCCTGACAGTTTCCCACTACTGCCTATCCCTGAAACAAAGAACAGTCCCACATGTTCTCACTCATAAATGGACCTTGAACAATTATAATACTATAAGATGATTCTTAACCATAGTAACCAAGTCGACTCTTTGTAAACCACTTCTCTGCCCCTTATTTTTCAATGGAATTGTAGGAGTGGAATAATAATATCCATATTTGCAAAATCACATAAGATTATGCACCTGTAGGCTTTCTTGTCAAATCCAACAGGGTTCATTATTAGCTATCATTATTGTGTGTAGTAAGATGTCAGGGTTGCTTTTGCCCAAGCAGGTGCATTTCACTCTCTCCATTCATTTTCCTTAAATATCAGAGTTAATATTGAATCTCAGTTATAAATATGGGCTTCCCTACCAAAAAATGTTGAGGTAATTGCAATTGAATTCTCTCAGGTTAGTTAAAAAAAACTGAGGAAGCTAAGGATAAAAGCAATTTCAATTTATAGATATAAATTGAATATACTATATATCTACATATATCTATATCCATATCTTGACTTTGTGTTCAACCATGTGACCTACCTTAGTCGATAAAATAAGGCAGAAATAATGGCAGACCATTTCTAGGTTGCTTTTATATCCTTTGCATCTTCCCTTTTATGCTTCTGTTGTTTCTATGAGAAAAAATATACCAAAACTAGTTTACTTGTTCAAGAAAGGGAATGAAAGACACATGGAACAGAATAATTCCCAATTCCATTAGAGTAAATAAGCCTAATTAAAATCAGTATCCCTCCCAGCTAAACCCAATCTAGTGCAATCAGTCACTAGCCTATCGACAGATCTATAACAATAAATTACACTTACTTTAAACACCTGATTTTGGGGTGGCTTTTTTGCACGTTATTTTTTAGAAGAAATATCATAGGATATTGAGTTACATCTATATTAAAATTATATTAATATCTACATTAATATAATTATATTATATATAATTATTTTATGAATAAATATAATGTATTTCTAAAATAAATGCGTAGAATACATGTTACATAGAAGCATGCATATCAAGAAGCATGCATATATAAAGGTAGGGAAACAGAGAGAATAAAGATATACATTAGCATAGCTAGTTAATTTTTTCTTCTACATGAGGTAACATCCAAAAAGCAATGTAGTTCACACTTTTCAATTTTGGCTGGCTCTCTGTTTAAAGATGGGGTTTTTTCCTGTGTTGGATTGGGAGTTTTTGTGGTCTTGTAGACATTATCCCTAACTTACCAATAGCCATAACAATGCCATGTCAAAAAATATTTTCTTTATATTCAATCTGAATCAATAAATTAATAACAATTATATATTAAAACTAAAATTCACTACACATAAATTTTGTTGAAATATTATAATTGGCATTTTTAGGCAAATTCTATTAATATCGTAAAACCTTTTGCTTCTCTGCATTTTTCAGTATGACTAGACTAAACAAATGAAAGTACTCATATTAAAACGGTTGATGTATTTAAGACCATTTTTTGCCCCTGAAGGACTGTGTGAAATTATTTGACTAATTCAGTTCAATTACAAATCAGTGATGATGGAATGAATTGTAAATTGATGATCATGTGTTTAAGCAAAACATATTTTATTTAATTATTTCATCAGTATATACTGGCTAATTATGAGTGAGGAGTTTTATCCTTTTATTTCTAAGGCTTGTCAACTTGGATGACATTACAGAGGAAGATAGTAGTTCTTTTTAATTGTTCTGAGCACTGAACACTGTTTTGTGCATAGTTAGGATCTGAAATAATTTGATTCTCTTTGCCTCTATTTAAATAAATGTAGACAACAAAGCAAACATTTATAAACAATCACAAAAAATTAACCAGTGTTTCAACATAATTTTCATTAATCCAGTGAGACTGATACTCTAAAATGGAAGCACAGGTACCAACCATTTCAATAGTTGATAGAAAGCAGACTAAAAAAGTTTTTCTATTTGTTTTCCGGTTTATAAAAATATAGTGACAAATGCAAAACTGTTATAAAATCTAGTTAATTTAGTATTCTGTAAATATCTAAGTTCAATAAGTATTTATTTAACACTTTATCAAGTATTTAGATGAAAAGATGTTGATATTCCTGGTGTATGCTTCATGTCTTTGGAAACAGTTTTCTTTCTTTCTTTTTTTTTTTTTCAGGTGTGCACTTTTATTGAACTTCTCTCAAGTGAGTGTACAGGTAAGCCCTGGCTGCCTCCACACCTCCACCCACTCCCAGGGAGACAAAAACCTTCATACATCTCCAGTCGGGGACAAAAAGGGGGGCCACGGTGGTTGATCATTCAAAATAAAACAAATAAAAAAGAATCAAGGCGAAGATTTTAAAAATTTGCATTACATAATTTACACAAAAGCAATGCTGTTTCCTCCCCCGTGTGGACCAGCAGAGAACTGGGCTACTCTCCTGAGAGAGAAGTGGGTCGACTTTTGGGAGGACAAGGGAGTTTCTGTAACAATGCATCTCACGATATTTGGAATGACTATTAAAAAAAAGAACAATATACAATCAAAGCCCTTGGCCACGTTGTAGAACTTTGGGGATGCTCCAACTCGCTGTCACCTTCACCGTTCCAGTTTTTAAATCCTGAGAGTCATCAAGCCACATCCCCTCCCCCCAAACAAACAAACAAACAAACAAAAAACAATTAAAGCCATGCCAATCTCATCTTATTTTCTGCGCAAGTTAGGTTTGTCAAGAAAGGGTGGAACGCGCTAGTCAGTCAGCCTAGAAGCACTTGCGGTGCTTGATGGAGGGGCCGGACTGGTCGTACTCCGGCTTGCTGATTCACATCGGCTGGAAGGTGGACAGCGAGGCCAGGATGGAGCCGCCAATCCACACGGAGTACCTGCGCTCAGGGGGTACGAGGATCTTGATCTTCATCGTGCTGGGCGCCAGGGCAGTGATCTCCTGCATCCTGTCAGCGATGCCTGGGTACATGGTGGTACCGCTGGGCGGCACCGTGTGGCGTCCAGCTCCTTGCGGATGTCCACATCACCCTTCAAGATGGAGCTGAAGTTGCTTTCGTGGATGCCTCACGATTCCATGCCCAGGAAGGAAGGCTGGAAGAGAGGCTGGCGCAGCGGAACCGCTCGTGGCCGATGGTGATCACCCGGCCGTCGGGCAGCTCGTAGCTCTTCTCCAGGGAGGAGGAGGACACGGCGGTGGCCATCTCCGGCTCGAAGTCCAGGGCGACGTAGCCCATCTTCTCCTTGATGTCAGCGCCATGTCCTGCTCGGCAGTGGCGGGGAAGCTGCAGACACGCTCGGTGAGAATCTTCATGGGGTAGTCTGTCAGGTCCCGGCCAGCCAGGCCCCCACGCAGGATGGCGTGGGAGAGGGCGTACCCTCGTAGATGGGCACGGTGTGGGTGTCCCCCGTCCCCGGAGTCCATCCCGATGCCAGTGGTGCTGCCAGAGGCGTACAGGGACCGCACAGCCTGGATGGGCACGTACATGGCTGGGGTGTTGAAGGTCTCGAACATGATCTGGGTCCCTTTTCCCGGTTGGCGCTGGGGTTCAGGGGAGCCTCGGTCAGCAGCACGGGGTGCTCGTCGGGGGCGACACGCGGCTTGTTGTAGAAGGTGTGGTGCCAGATCTTCCCCATGGCGTCCCAGTTGGTGACGATGCCGGGCTCGATGGGGTACTTCAGGGTCAGGATGCCTCTCTCGCTCTGGGCCTCGTCGCCCACGTAGGAGTCCTTCTGGCCCATGCCCACCATCACACCCTGATGCCGCGGGCGTCCCACGATGGAAGGGAAGATGGCCCGGGGGGCGTCGTCGCCCCCGAAGCCGGCCTTGCACATGCCGGAGCCGTTGTCAACGACGAGCGCAGCGATATCACCGTCCATGACGAGCCGGAGAGGCGTGGACCAGCGGCGGAGCGAGGGCACGGGTCGGCGCGAACCCGCGGACGGGGTCTCGAAGGTCGGAGACAGGTTTCTTAAAATCAAACCACTAAATCATTCAATGATTAAAACTGCTTTTAAATGAAATTAAATAGACTTCAATAATTTGTGTAGGAAAAGCTGTATATTGAAAATACTTATACAGTGAATATGCTGTGAAGTGATTAAATCTTTATTTAAAACTAGTATAATTTCTCAGACATCAGTGCACCAATGTAAAATCGTATTCTGAAATTCATTTTTTATTGAGATAATTTCTCCAAGAATCATATATAACAGCAGATGTATATATTGTATGAGTTTAATACATAATCAAGTATCACATATGTCACATTTCATTCTAAAATAAAAATGAAAAAACTATTTATTTCATTTTATTTCTTGCTGGCTCTGCCCACTGCTGAGTACAGTTCATTGTGTTATTCTTTCTTCAATCTTCTTAGCCTCAAGTTATTGAAGTGTTTGGTCACCATTTCTATTTTTCAAGTAATTTATCTCTGAAACTCTTGCTCTTTTAGAAATTTAACTGTGGCTGCCAATTCCAGGATGGTGCTAGATCTCGTCTCAGCATCATGAGTAAGAGAATAACAGCCCTCCACTTTACACTTCTACTTATCTGTGATCTTTAACCTATTCCAATCTATAAGCAGGCGTTCCCTTAGAGATTAAAAATTGATCTATTTGGAATTGCCTGAGCCTATCGGTTTGAGACCAGCCTGAGCAACAAAGTGAGACCTTGTCTCAAAAACACACACACACACAAAATTAGCTGGGCATGGTGGTGCACTCCTGTAGTTCCAGTTACTTGGAAAGCTGAGGCATAAGGATGACCTGAGCCTAACAGGCTGAGGCTGTGATGGCCACAAACGTGCCACTGCACTCCAGCCTGGGCAAAAGAATGAGATTCTGACTAAAAAGAAAAAGAAAAGAAAAGAAAAGAAAATTAATCCATTTGATAAGAAACAAGACGTTTGGACTTGCTTATATGATATGACAACACAAATAAAATTATATATGCAAATCTCCATTAGTATATATTTCTCTTTTAAAAAATAAATCTTCAAAGTCTGTATCACATTTTATCCTGTATTTTTTTTTTTATTTTTTGGTTTGTGAAGCTGTTGGTTATTGTTTACTTTTTTCTGTGTTCTTTTTGTATGTTTTAATGATCAGGTATATTTGTGTGCATAAAAGCATGAATTTCAAAATAGTAACTAGTATAAAAAGAATATTCTCACTAATAATCTTGAGTATATAATTTTGAGTTTTGATTGACATGTCAAAAACTCAAAAATTTTAAATTTATTGATTCATCCTCTGTCTAAAACCATTGTTATTATATGAGATATAGTTTTAAGCCCATAAATTATATTGAGAATAAAGTTATAACATTCTCATTGTTTTGTTTGAAATTATTTTACATACAAATAAACAAAAAATAGTTCAAAAGAGTTCAATCAAATGGAAATTTATTGACTCATATTGGCATTTTAGGGTAGGATTCACAGTCATTCTGAGGTGATGTTAATATGACAGACTTGGGATCTTTACTTCTTTCTTCTTTGCCTTCACCTCAAACTGTATCTTTGTGGGTGAAAGATGATTGTGTACAAGTTCAAAGCTACAAGATAAATCCTCCAAGTCTGGAAGAAAAATAATTTTTAAAAAACCACTATAATCTAAATATTGAAGAAAGTAGATGGTACATGTCTTAGAGTTTGTCACTCACTCGGTGTACTATACCATCCAGAACTTGTCACTGAGTGATGTAGCTGAGGATTATCCTGACTGGTTATTCTAAGCAGACTCACCTTGGAAGCTCTGAGTGTGATACATCACATTCCCATGATAAAGGTAGAGGGCACAGTGACAATTTTATAATTGCATTACTCTTGGAGCTAATAATAACTAACCATAGCTAATACTTTATAAGCATTTAATGTCAACTTTGCTGTGGACACTTTAAAAATATTTCTTTAATTCCATCATGCAAATAAATTCTATGATATAGATGAAATGAAAAAAAGAATTGCTTTAGGAATTATTTTGACTCTATTATTCAATATAACCTGTGTGAGATTTATGTGAGACATTTCTTTCAGACTTAGGTGCTGTAAAAAGCTAAATTTTTCTCCTAAGGCATGAAATTTATTATTTGTCCTATAAAGTGTAAAAACCATTTAATTCATTGAATTTTCTATTGCAAGAAACTCAGGGCTAAATTTAATAGTAAACGATAATTACCATGTAGGACCTTAGTGCTTATATATTAATTTTCTAATCTTCTTTCAGTTTTAGTCATCTATGAAATGATATTTTGCTGTTTGTAGATATCTGAGCTTGCAGAACGGCAATATCTTCTTTATTCTCCTGAAACAATGGCAAAATCGATAGGGGCAACAGGAAATTCTATACAGGATCCACATTTTCAACATCACTAGGAGACATAGAGCACCATAACCCTAGATAACCTTTAAGTGGCAGAAGATGAAAAACGAAGCAAAAAACTGGACACCCACTACAAGTCCATGTCTGTTCTAGCTTTTGCGTGTAGAGAACTTGATAAGTGAGGCCAAAAAGACTCCATAATCAAGAAGAGCCAGAACAGATGACTTAGAGGAATCACACAATGTCATCATCAGAAGGAAAAAGTAAAATAGTAAAAATAAACTTATTGAACAAAGATTGGGCATTAGCAATTTATAAAGTTCATAGAATTGGTTATGGGTTAAAAGCTTGAAAATGTGTACAATAAGTGGCAGCTTGGAAAAAATGAAGTTTCTGGGAGAGAATGAACACAGAAAAGATGGTTTTTTGTGGGGAAATAGTGTGAAATAAACAAATAAACAAACAGAAAAATGTAAGTATCTCACAGTTGATAAAACAGAGCAAAACACCACCAATCTTTTTCCCCTCTCTGTTCCCGACGATAGAAGAAAATAAACAGAAGAGAGCCGATAGAAGAAGAAACTCCACGAAGTAGGAGCCCTGGTCTCTAAGTAAGAATAGGAAAAAGTAGATAACATCACAAACTTCTGTATGAAGTCAGTCATTTCAAAATAGATTTTTCTCATGGTGGAACATTTTGACAATACACAAAGTAATTGAATAAAACTTACACGTACTGCAGACAGAACCTTGTATCCAAAAAAATTTTGAAATATAAATTGCTACCTTGAATCAAAATGCAAAAATGTAATAACAGAGATATAAAATAAAGAGAATGAAAAGAAGGTTGATCAAAAGAACATATTAATAAAAAAAGAAAAATATAAAAATATATGGGAAATGAAGAAAACATTACAAAATGCCCTTGAAATAATAGATTTGAATGAACTTTGAATAAAGTACATTGAATCAAGTCAGGGAAATAATAAAGATAATAAATCTGAGAGTTAAAAAAAAAAAGTAGTAAAGACCAGAGCAAAACTAATTGAGATGGAAGTTAGACAAATGAGATTGAAATTTTGTATTATTAATTTTCCTGAAGAATAAGATAATACTGGACTAAAAGATATATTAGAACAAATATATATTGGGCCAATAATGTAAATAACCAAATAAATAATACTGGACCAAGACCAAAATTTCAAACTGTAATCCAGAAAACATTTCAGACATAAAAGTACTCAAAGACATGAAATATGCGTGTTTTCTTTAATATTTGGGTAAAACCATAGACCAATTGACCGTGCATGGAGTTATTGTATGAAACTTTGGGAACCAATCACTTAAAACGTTTGTAATTTTCCATAACGTCTCCTGCACAGATGAACCCAAAAGCCCATATTACAACAAAAGTGCAAGCAAATCAACACCTCTTAAAATATCAAGCTATCACATGGAAGACTGAAGATTTGCTTGGATTTGAATTTGAACTTTGAAAGAGTGATAAATAAATATTGTTTGAATATAGCTCTAAAATTTTCATGGCTCTTATAGTAACACAAACTAACCTATTTAGCCTGATGCAATTAATAATACAAATATGAAACCAAAGTATAATTTTGTGCAATAATATATGCAAATAATAAATTATAAAATAATATCAAACTGTAAAACTTGATGAACTCCGGCATCTTATATAAGAAAGTCCTTGGGTGAAGCCACAAAATTGCTATTTTTAAAAATGTTCTACAAGTATACAGCCATGGCTGAAGACCTCTGCTGATTGAAATGAAATCTGTACATAATTATGAAAATGTTTCAGTGAAAATGTGTTTCAAAAACAAGATATGCAGAAAATTTATCATTACAAAAAATCATTATTTTTCTCCTTAGAAGATAATTTATTATTTCAATGTGATTCCATATCATCATGCATGATTTGCACCTGTTGATGTTTTCCAAAATTCTTCATTTCTAAGATGATTGCTTTGTGTAGTTTGCACTTCTTCTATCTCAATTTGAATCATCCTCTGAAAAACTACTTGTTTTCTGAACTAGGGTTCTCATTAAAGTTTGGAGGGCTGATTGCAGCTGATGTGCACTGTATAATCACAAAGCTTAGTCATATAGCTGGGAACAAGTATGGCATCTAGTCCTCCTTAGAAAGTAATTAGGTAAAATTTAACATCTTTATAACTAAGACTGCCTCCTCTTTAAAAAATGTCTGCTCCACCTGTCCTCAATTTTATTTTTTTATCACTATTTAGCTGTTTTTATTCCCTTAATGATTTTTCTTTCTATGTTTTTCCATTTTTATATATTTTGACTCAGCCCTCTCGGTAACTTATGTATTTTTTTCCTAACTTATTTTTTTATCATTTTCTCTGGAACAATACTTTTAATGCCTTTGGATCTGAAAATCTGCCTCTCTCTCTCTCTCTTTCTCTCCCTCTCTCTGGTCTCCATATGCTAGATAGATCTAGATACATGATAGAAAGGTAGACACAGCTACATATAAATAGATCTGATTTACCTCATGGATAATACTGTCCTTTCTATATCAACTTCCTGTGTAGTGACTCTG